TAGAGACGCCCTTCTGAAAGGGAAGGGGGAAACAAGAGGAAAGGAAAGGGAGGAATAAGAAGGGAAGGGAAAGAGGGAGGGAAGATGGGAGAGAAGGAAAGAAGGGGAAGGAATGGAAGGGAGGAACAATAGAAGTAAAAGGAAGGGAGACAAAAGAATAAAAGGAAGAAGGGAGGAAAGGAAAGGGAAGGAAGTGTGTGTGTGTGGGGGGGGGGGGCTTCCGGTGGCTCATGCCTGTAATCCTAGCTACTCAGGAGGCTGAGATCTGAGATCTGAGGATCAAGGTTCAAAGCCAGCCTAGACAGGAAATTTCGTGAGACTCCTATCTCTAATAAACCACCAGAAAACTGGAAGTGGCACTGTGGCTCAAGTGGTAGAGCACTCACCTTGAGCTGAAGAATGCAGGGAGAGCTCCCAAGCCCAGAGACCAAGCCCCATGACCCACACCAAAAAAAAAAAAAAAAAAGGGGGGGGGGAAGGAAGGAGGAGAAAGAAGGAAGGAAGGGATGGAGGGAGGAGATGAAGGAGAGGCTATTAATGATAACAGGGGATCAGGGACTAGCTAGTAAAAATGAAGAGAACTTTAAAGAATATAGAATTACTAACATACCAGGATGTAGCTACTATTCCCAGGCTGAGATAGAATGCCCAGGGAAGCTGGGTGCTAGTGGCTCACACCCATTATCCTAGCTACTCAGGAGACTAAGATCTAAGGTTTGAGATTCAAAGCCAACCCGGGCAGGAATGTTCATGAGACTCACCTCCAATTAACCACCAAAAAAGCTAAAAGTGGAAATGTGGCTCAAGTTGGTAGAGCAGCCAGCCTTGAACAAAGAAACTTGGGGACAGTGCCCAGGCCCTGAGTTCAAGCCCCAGGACAAGCACAAAAGGAGGAGGAGGAGAAAGAGAAGGAACAGGAAGAGGAAGAAGAGGAAGAGGAGGACGAAGAGGAAGAGGAGGAGGAAGAGGAGGAAGAGGAAGAGGAAAGGGGAAGCCGATGAGGACGACCTCGACCACTGTCACCACGAGAAGTGATCCCTCTCTCCCTGGGGACCCCCCAGTCACAAATCATGTGAGTCCTTGCAGAGAATAGTCATGGCAGAGAAGTTGTGTTACTGTGCAAACATGTTAGAAATCCACCCTCTGGAATTTGCTGGAAATCTGCCCTGTGTGATGCTGGATTAAGTCATTAGTGAGGTGTTATCTCACTGGACATGCTTCATCACAAAAGGGCATCAGTGGGTGCTTAGGAAAGCTGACCACAATTCTGGCAGGAGCCTGAGACAGAGCCTACTGCGATAGGCACAGAACTGTCTTTCCAGCGCCCTCTACTGACAATGTTTTACAATGTGTCAGCTGACAGAACAACCAGTTAAAGGACTCAGCCTTGTGTCCACTTAGAGATGATGAAGGGTGGGTTTAAGGCTGGAAGAAATCAGTTCATGGCTGGTAGCAGATGCTTTGATTCTGCCATCATTCCTCACAGGCTGGCCCCTGCCAGGTGCCTTCTTACCTGCTGCCCAGCTCCTCATACTCTGTGTTCTACTGGCATACCAGACTAGTGTGTGATCCTGTGTTCATGGGCCACTTCTTGCTGTGACAACCCTGAGAAACGTAACTGAAAGGAAGGTTGTGGTTTCAGAGATTCCAGATCACATTCAGTGGACTGCACTGAGGTGGTCTCAGGCTAACAGCGTCTCATAATGGAGCCTGTAGTGGAGTAAAACGGTTTTCCTCATGGCAGACAGGACACAGAGAGCAATAGTAGAGGGGCTCCCCAGAACACATGGGGAAGGACAAACTTCCTCCACTTCTGCCTTGCCAACAGCTCCTGGCAATGTTTTCCTATCGTGAATCATCAAGAAATTAACCCCTGGATGAAGAAAGAACCCTCACTGCCTAGTTACCACTTTTTGCTTTTTTTTTTTTTTTTTTTTTTTTGTGGTGGACCTGGGGCCTGAACTCTTGGGCTGGGCTCTCTCCCTGAGCCTTTCTGCTCAAGGCTGGAGCTCTACCACTGCCACACCTAGCATGCAGGGTGAACAGCTACCTAGAAGGGAGATAGCACAGTATTCAAGAGGAAGGAAGGAAGGAAAGGAAGGGAAGGAAGGAAGGAAGGAAGGAAGGAAGGAAGGAAGGAAGGAAGGAAGGAAGGAAGGAAGGAAGGAAGGAAGGAAGGAAGGAAGGAAAGAGAGAACACAAAAGCAATCTCAGGAATTAAAGTGGGGGAGCCGGGGCGGGGGGACTCATCTTGGAGAATAAAAGTTCCTAGGTTCATCTCCCAGGCAGTTTTGATTATGCAGCATGACTAGTAGGAAAGGCAATACACTTTATAATTAGTGATGAGTAAGTATGTTTCTTCTCTAGCACAAAGCAGATATCATTCTGGTAGAAAAGTTAACCCCCAGCTGAACAAGCTCTTAAGCTAACATCCTTGAGTAAGCTAGTTTTTATCTTGGTTTGGGAGAAGGGCTAGGGAACCAAGCAGAGCATAAAGCCTTAAGCTAACATTCTGGAGTCAACTAGCTATCTTCTGATCTTGGTTTGGCAGATGGGTCAGGGATGTGGGCCAGGCAGGGCCAGTGTTCTCCTGTGCACACCTCTGCACTCTGCGTGAGTGACCCATGCCACAGTGCTGGGGATTGAACCCAGAGCCTTGTGTATGCACTGAGCTACATCTCCAGTCCCAACATCTGGCACCCAGCCAACAACTAATTTTTAATATATATAATGCTTAATTGTAATGGAAGATTGAAAAAAATGAATAAAAATGGAAATGACTCCCTAACTGTGTATGGTGGTATATTCTTATAATCCCAGTACTCAAGAGGCTGAAGTAGGAGGATTTTGAGGTCAAGATCATAAGGCCAGCAAATGCAATGCAATGAAGGCATAGTCACGTCCTGTGGCTGAGCTGACACACAGGGCTCAGACCCAAAGCTTGTTGGAGGAAGCAGGACAACTGGTAGAGAAGTGCTATGCTGTCAGGCTAGTGATGCTTCCCAGAAATCTGCCTTCCAAATTTTGCCAGAACCTACCTCCCAAAGTGCCAGGGAAAGTCATGCTGGAGAGGAGTCTCACCCAAGGCACTGCTGTGAAGTAAACCAAAAGCAAAGCAACTGGCAGCTGGGTGCTGTCAGCTGCTGCCACTGTAGGATAGAGGCAGACAGTTAAACCCAGCATCAGTGAAATGGAACAAGGAGGCATTGTGTGATGCTAACACATCATTTCCTAGGAGGTTTACCTGACCCCCTACAAACGAAACCAGAGCAAACCTCTCCATCCAACCTCAAGTCACAAGAAATATAGATGAGAACAATACTTTAAATGTCACCAGAAGGAAGCAATTACATTCTATTGGATAAATGACCCAGATCCTACAAGTCAATGTCAGGGGAAAGTTAAGGATTGGGGTAGGAACTGTTCTAGAATATGAGACTTAACAGTCTTATCAACAAATTTCATGTGAAGAAAAAACCTCCAGTCATCAAGTCATCAAGCTAGTCACAGATCAAAATCGTAGCAAGATCCTCAGATATTTGAGAAGATTTTTTTTCTTTTTTGGGGGGCTTAAACTCTGGGCCTAGGTGCTGTCCCTCAGCTCTTCAGTTCAAGGTGAGCGCTCTACCACTTGAACCACAGCACCACTTCCGGCTTTTTTCTTTTTTGCTTATGTGGTGCTGAGGAATCGAACCCAGGGCCTCATGCATGCAAGGCAAGCGCTCTGCCACTGAGCCACCTTCCCAGCCCCGCGACCGCTTTTTTTAAGGAATTAATTCTTACGTATTGAAAGGAAAATCCCTGGGCGTGGGGAGGTAACTCCAGTTTTTTGCTGGATGGAAATGATCTGCTAGTCAAGCCGAACCCTGCCGAGGACTTCCCTATTCCCAGGCCGCCACAGCGAGGCACTAATTAGGTAATTAGAGCTGGAAATGGAGGCATAGGAACAAGCTCAGCAGCCAGGAGGTAGAGAAGAAGGTTCAGGGCCTGATGCCTCCTCCTGCCCCACTGAGCCCTGAGCACAAGGGGCTCTGGGACCAAATGTAAAACCAGGGGTCAGTGGGCCAGGCTGAGGCGCTTTTATCCCTGGGCAGATTTCCTGGGGAAGCCATGTTTCCCGTCCTCATGAAGTCCTTCCTCTGCCCCTGCACACAGCCCAGCCGCCCTCGCTGTTGGGCACCTGGGAAGTGGCCGAGAGACCAGAGAGAGCGAACCAGCAGAGGTGACTTCCACGTCCAGTCCTGTGGTGGTGCTGGGGAGTTGAGCCGGGACCACGGCTCTGCTAGGCATTTGCTCCACCACTCCAATCACGCCCCAGTCCGCCTTGGGGCCAGAGGTTCCCCTTACCTCGGCGGGATCTTGGCACATTACAGATGCATATGGCAGTGTTGCAGTGTCTCATACATATGTGGAATTGCTAGGCAATTACAAATACACATTAGACTTCTTTTTTGGCCAGTCCTGGGGCTTGAACTGAGGGCCTGGGAGCTGTCCCTGAGCTGCTTTTGCTCAAGGATAGCATTCTATCATTTGAGCCACAGAGCCACTTCTAGCCTTTTCTGCTTATTGGTACTGAGGAATCGAACCCAAGGCCTCATGCATGCAAGGCAAGCACTCAACCACTGAGCCACCTTCCCAGCCCACATCCAACCATTTTTACCCATCCTCTGCTCCTTTGCATTTTAACTTCTTCCAGACAAGTTCTGGCTACGTGGCCTAGACTGGCCCCGCATCTGCATCCTTCCGCATCAGCCCTGCGAGCGCCGGGAGGGCAAACCGGCACCACAGCCGGCGGGTTCTCGATTTGGGACCTGCGGGGACGTAACGCCGGTCCCCGGGTCCTCCGCAAACGTCACAATTCCGCGGCCGTGTGGGATCTGTAACGTCATGCAACACTCCCCTGGGGGGAGCCAATGGAGGCGCGGCGCGGCGCGGCGCGGGACGGGGCCCGGCCCTGCCTGCGAGCGCGCGGGCGCCCGGGCGGCGGGAGCGGCGGCGCGATGGACCGGGGCGCCCGCGCGGCGGCTCCGCGTGCCCAGGACCGGGCCCCGCCGCCGCCGCCGCCGCCCGCAGGGACGTCACCGCCGGTGGGCTTGGAGGAAGAGGCCGTCTACGAGTGCCTGGACTACGTCTACCTACGCGACTACCCGGCCTGCGGGGCCGGGCGCAGCAAGGGCCGGACGCGGCGCGAGCAGCAGCTGCGCACCAACCGGACGGTGCCGGGCGGCCACGAGCGCAAGATTGCGCAGAAGCTGCTGGACGCGCAGCGCCGGCGGCGCCAGCGCCAGCTGCAGCCCCGGCCGCGCTCCCGCCTCTCCTGAGCTGGGTACGTCAGCCGCGCCCGGCCGCGCGCCGAACCCGCCCACAGAGCCCTGGGGCTGGGTGACAGGGCCTGGGAGGCGGGCGGGGACGCGGGCGGGCGCGCGCGCTGGCGCAGTCCCTACACCGAGAAGCCTGAGGCCGGAGGAGCCGAAGTTCCAGGCCAGCCCGAGCTGCATAGTGAAACCCCGTCTCAAAACAGAAGTGCTGCTACCGAAAGAAAAAAAAATGCAGCTGTTTTGTTGACATCTTGAATTTCAGAACTTCTGAGTAAATACAAATTTTACTCAAGTAGGTTTTTTGCTTTTTTGGGGGGTCCTGGGCGCTGTCTCTGGGCCTCTTTGTGTTCAAGGTTAGCTCTCTACCACTGAGTCCCAACGCCACTTCAAAAAGTAGGGTTTTTTTTTTGTTGTTGTTGTTGTTTTGTTTTTCTTTTCTGGTCCTGGGACTTGAATTCAGGGTCTTGGCACTATCCTTGAGCTTCTTTTGCTCAAGGGTAGCACTCCACCACTTGAGCCACAGGGCCACTTCTGGCTTTTTCTGTTGGTGTGGTACTGAGGAATTGAATCCAGGGCTTCATGCATGCTAGGCAAGCACTCTATCACTAAGCCACATTCCCAGCCCTTCAAATAGTTTTTTAAAAGGGTCAATAATCCGGCACCCGTAGCTAGATACCTGTAATCTTAGCTACCCTGGAGGCTGAGATCTGAGAATCAGGTTCGAAGCTAGCCCAAACAGGAAAGACTATGAGACACCTATCTCCAATTATCCACCAAACAACAACAAAAGCCAAAAGCAGAGCTGCGGCTCAAGTGGTAGAACACTAGTTTTGAGCCTAAAAGCTAAGGACTGTGCCACGGCTATGAATTCAAACCCCAGGACCAGCACTAAGGAAGGGTGGAGAATAAGGAAAAGTATTCAGCATCAAAAATCATCAGGGAAATGCATATTAAAATCACAGTGATACCAAACAACAAAGCCCAGAGAGCTTTATTCCCAGTGCTCAAGATAGGACTAAAGACATAAACTGATTTCGTTTTTGTCTGATTTTCTGCAGGATACATGAAGTATTTTCACTGACTCCAACTGTAACTGTGCCACCATGTTGCTCAACTGAACTGTTCCACGTTGCTTAAGTTTACTGCTTCAGTCTTTTCCTTACTAATTGTTAGATAAGACGTTACATCCAAATGCGTATGCTTGTTTAGAGGTTTTAATTAAAAGAGAACAGCAAGAATGACATTTTAACTCTTCTGAGGTTTTTTTTTTAAGTTGCTATGATAATTCATTTCCAGTCCACAAATAACTGGGCTATCAAATACCTGGGCTACCAAAGAAACTATCACAGCCAGGCTTAGTGGTACAGCCTATAATCCCAGGCCTTAGTGTGGCCTACATAGATGTTCCAGGTCAGCCTGAGCTATGTACTGAGACCTTGCTTCAGAAAAAACAAAACAAAACAAAAAACAACCAAGCTGGGTGACAGTGGCTCACACCTGTAATTCTGGCTATTCAGGAGACTGAGATCTGAAGATCACTGTTCAAAGCCAGCCAAGCAGGAAAGTGCGGGAGATTCTTATCTCCAGTTAACCACCAGAAAACCGGAAGTGGCTCTGTGGCTCAAGTGGTAGAGGGCTCACCTTGAGCTGAAATGCTCAGGGACAGTGCCCAGGCCCAGAGTTCAAGTCCCATGACCAACAAAAAATAAATAGAGCCAGGCGTTGATGGTTCATGCCTGTAATCCTAGCTACTCAGGAGGTTGAGATCTGAGGATCGCAGTTCAAAGCCAGCCCGGGCAGCATACTCCATGAGACACTTATCTCTAATAAACCACTCAGAAAACTAGAAGTGGTGCTGTGGCTCAAGTGGTAGAGTTCTTGCCTTAACCTGAGGAGCTGAGGGTAGATCCCAGGCCCAGAGTTCAAGCCCCACGACTGACATTAAAAAATAAAAGAACAAGGGGTGGGGAGCCACAAAATTGCTGGCTCATGCCTGTAATCCTAGCTACTCAGTTCTCAAACTGAGAATCATGTTTTGAAGCCTGGGCAGGGCATGAAAGTTATGAGACTCCAGTTAATCTCCAATGAAGTACCCAAAAAAGCTGGAAGTAGAGCTGTGGCTCAGGTGGTAGAGCACTGGCCTTGGGGACAATGCCCTGAATTCAAGCCCCAGGACCAGCACACACATACACACACGCACACACCCACATGGGCACGTGCATGCACCAAGAAGATGAATGAGGGAGAACAAAGATAGGAATTTGTACAAGATTTCTCACTCCAGTGTCAGAGGTTTTATTTCCATTATTGAACAACACTAGAATATCTGTGCTAACTGATCTCAACGATCCTTATAGATGCTGCTGCCCCCATTTGAGACAAGGGATGCTAAGGCAAGAGAGAGCTCAAAAAATTTCCAGGCCTCAGCTACTTTAGGCAGGAGACATGGTGGTCCTGACCTCAGTGCTTTCCAGGCCTCAGCTAGTTTAGGCCGGAGACATGGTGGTCCTAAACCTTAGTACACAGTAGTATTTCATGCTAAGTTTTACCCAAAATGTTCCTGTGAGGTAGGTAAACATTTACATGTAAGCCACAGTATACAGCTCCTTTTTGAACACAGATAATTTTACAAGTCTTACTTGTAAAATATGTGATTCTTTTCAAAGATTTCAAATCTTTCCAAGGTTCTCCCTCAGGTACCCCCCCCCCACCCCCAACTCTGGGCCTGGGCGCTGTCCCTCAGCTCTTCAGCTCAAAGCTAGCACCCTACCACTTGAGCCACAGTGCCACTTCTGGCTTTTTGATTATGTGGTGGTACAAATTGAACCCAGGGCCTCATGTATGCAAGGCAAACCCTCTACCACCGAGCCACCTTCCTAGCCCCAAATCGTTCCAAGGTTTAAGGAGTGTTTTCAAGACAGCAGATGCTCCTAGGCATGTACTTTTCCTCATGTTAGAACCACTCATTAACTTGACATTTAAGGGCAAGTTGAATTACAGTTATAAAACTGTGCAGAAGGTGGCGTGCTAGTCTTCCTCTTCATCTGTACTCAGGTCTCTACACCTCGCATTGGGCCCTTCACCTGCAATAGAGCAACCACCTGAATTTGATTTCTGGCTTTAATATTTCCCCACTCTGGCATCCAGTAAACTTCTGAGTGGTAACCACCTGAATTTGAGTTCTGGATTTGGTATTTCCCCGCTCTGGCATCCAGTAAACATCTGAGTGGTAACTAGTTTCAAATTTTACCATGCTTGTTTTCTTGCTTGTCAAGTGGGAATAATATTGGACTACTTTGTAAATTGTAAGGATCAGTAACAAAAAATAGTAGGCATCTAACAGAGAAGAGCCTGCCATGTAAGAAGCATTCAATCAACAGTAGCTCACTAAAATTTTACCATCCTTCTACTTCCTCAGTGGTCATGAAGTCTTAATTCCCTCTGTAAAAGGTCTCCAACACCCAGGTACTATGGCATGGTAATAGGCCTTACTTTGACCTGTGTACACTTAACACATTCTGTAACCTCTCTAAGTTTTGTCTTTTCCTCACTATAAAGTAGTGGTGATTATAGTGCCACTTCCCGGAGGGTTTTTTTTTTTTTTTTTGAGATTAGGTAATTACATAAATTTCATATATTTCACAATACTGTGGAGTAGGGATGCTTAAAAAGTCACAAACACATTTTTTTTTTTTTTTTGGGTCCGGTCGTGGGGCCTGAACTCTGGGCCTGGGCGCTGTCCCTCAGCTCTTCAGCTCAAGGCTAGCGCTCTACCACTTGAGCCACAGCGCCACTTCCGGCTTTTTTTGTTTTGCTTATGTGGTGCTGAGGAATCGAACCCAGGGCCTCAGGCATGCAAGGCAAGTGCTTTAACCACTGAGCCACCTTCTCAGCCCCGTCACAAACACATTTTAACCTTCACAAGGCAAATTGTCAGTATCATGGTCTATCAAGTTTGTAGATTCTATGAGCTTTGACAATACAACTATTTCTTCGACATCATGTGATATTTACATTTCTTTCCTTTTGCTTAGTGTGAGCTGTTCCTGGAGTTCTGAAGGTGTAAATGAAACGAGGCATGCAAAGCTTGGTGCCTGATACATAGTAGGTACTAAAATAATGTAACTCAGGCTGGCCTCAAACTTATGATTCTCCTGCCTCCACCTCCTGAATGCTGGGCCAATACCCTTCACCATCACCACTGATCTCTGATCTCCTTTCTGTCTTAATACTGTTTAACGTTCTTACTCTGAAGCTTTTTTTTCTTTATTCTTGGTTGTGGGGCTTGAACTCTGGGCCTGGGCACCGTCCCTCAGCTCTTTAGCTGAAGGCTAGTGCTCTACCTCTTGAGCCACAGAGCCATTTCCAGCTTTTTCTACTTATGTGGTGCTGAAGAATCGACCCCAAGGCCTCGTGTATGCAAGGCGAGTACTCTACCACTGAGCCATCTTTCCAGCCCATCTGAAGCTTTTCTGGTGCTAGGGTACACCTTTTAAAACCTTCCTTTTCCGCCAGGCTTTGGTGGCTCACGCTTGTAATCCTAGCTACTCAGGAGGCTGAGATCTGAGGATCACGGTTCAAAGCTAGCCCGGACAGGAAAGTCCAAGAGACTCATCTCCAATAAACCACTCACAAAAACAGAAGTGGCACTGTGGCTCAAGTGGTAGAGTGCTGGCCTTGAGCTGAAGAGCTGAGGGAATAGTGCCCAAGCCCACAGTGCAAGCCCCACAACCAACCAAAAAACAAAACAAAACTTTTTTTTTCCAACTCTTGTTTGTAAATTATCCGAAACCAAGTACCAGTCGGGGTTCATTCATGTAAAATATGTCAGTTCCTGAAATGACAACTTGTAAAAAATTTATTCATGAGGTCCATGAAAAGGAAGGTATAAGGTCTGAACAGGGACACCTCCCTCCCTTTTGGCTAAGTTTCCTCCCAGTATCTGTTACCTAGGTAACTGGCAGACCTGGAAGCAGTCACCTTCCCCTCCTGCTAGGTCACAACCTGGGCCACCTCTGGTCACAAGCCTCCCATCTGACCTTAGGAGGGTCCCAGACCCTGAGGTCACATCCAGATCCAGTGTGGCCACATCTTTCCTCCACCTGGCCACACCTCTTTCTGTCCCACATAAGTCCTGGCCCAGAGGTGGGTCTCCCCTCTCCACCCCCCCCCCCCTTTCCTTTTCAGCCATTCCTCTCTACCATGCATGGCGGGGGCAGGCAGCAGTTAGGTAAATAAACTTCTCCTGCCTGAATAGCCCGTGGTGTTCTCTTCATTGGCTACCTAATGAAACCTACTATTTAATATACCTTACAGAAGGGCTATTTGTGGGATAAACAAGCAGAGTGGAGGCTGGGAAGGTGGCTCAGTGGTAAAGTGCTTGCCTTGCATGCATAAGGCCCGGGGTTCCATTCCTTAGCCCCACATAAGCAGAAAAAGCTGGAAATGGCTGTGTGGCTCAAGTGGTAGAGTGCTAGCCTCAAACTGAAGAGCTGAGGGGCAGGGCCCAGGCCCAGGCCCAGAGTTCAAGCCCCACAACTGATAAAAAAAAAAAAAAATTAGAGTGGAAGGTTGCTGGAAGGAAAAGATACCAGAAGTCTAACATCCAAAATCAAACTTCAGGGACACAATAAATTTTTAGGAATGTGGCATTTGTTTTGAGATTGGAATTTTGACCCTCTGACTTGCAAGGTCATGCCTATCAGTAGTACAAGTACAAGTAGTACTGGCCTGGCATGCATGTGTCTCTGTACCTGATGCCTAGCACTGAAAGAAACAAAGAGTTCTGGGAAAACAGCTGTTTCATATGGAAGCTTTTGCATTATCTACCCTTGGGTCCCACTTACATTCTGTTGTTGCAGGGACCTGAGAAGACTCCTGGCAGAAGAAAGAAATTCATGATTGACATACAAGCAGAAACGGAGGTTTTATCGCTTTTTCATAAACTTTCCCCTCAAGTCTCTCCTATGACCCCCTCATGAAATGCCACTAGCTAGCCAGCTTTTCTGACAAACAGCCTTCCAAGCCATGCCTCACTGAAGCCCAGACAATGGCTGTTCCTCTTGAGGGGCCTACCTTTCATAAACACGTGGGCTGACCCACTTCTTCCCGGTCATGCTGCACCTACTGGTGATTTAGGTGATCAAACTCTAAAGGTAGACCCTTAATTGCTGTGTCTTCAGAACATGGAAACCATTTAATAAGCTTTTGTTGAATTACCACTTCATGGCTATTGCCTCAACGCTGGCATAAATTCTGTAACAGACGTGAAAGGGTGTATAATAACCTGTATCATGATATATTGTGATACCAAAATGGAAGCCACTCTTGTTTGAACTTGTTTTTTTGGTACTGGATCTAGGCAAGAAATAAAAATAGAACTCAAATTTAGCCCTAAGACATGAATTTTTACACAATTACTGTCTCAAATTTTAATATTAACGTTAGGAAAGTCGCCCAGGGCTCTCTGGCAATTAGGCCAGATAAGTGACCCAACCGTCCCAGTTGCCTTTCACTTCCACACCAAGCCAAAGGTTCAGGGAAGCCGCGGCGGGGCCGTCACCTCCTGAATCAAGCCACTAACACTGCACTCCAGAACGGACTGAGGACTGTTGGTGAGGATACCGCGGGCACTTCCGGCGTCCTACGGCGCCTCGGCTCGGGGCTCATGACGCCATCGCGCACGGCGAGTCGTCGCGGTGACGTCCTGCTCTTCCTATGACCTTCAGGGCCCGACAAACGGAGACCTTTGCTGTGCGCGGATTGGTCACGTGGTAGGGCCAGCCCCGCCTTCCGTCTTCCTCTCTCTGCGCAGTAGCTCCTGAGCGCTTCGTAGGTTTCGTTGTTGCTGGACGTGGTTCCTCGTCGGGGTCCAACATGCCTCGTGGAAGCCGGAGCCGCACCTCCCGCGTGGCCCCACCGGCCAGGTGAGACCCTCCCGGGGTTTGGAGCCGGGGCCCGGGTTCTCGAGGTCTGTCGACCTCGTGACGCAGAGGTAGGCGGCGGGTGGTGGCGTAGAGGCCGAGGGTCTCCCGACGGGCGGCGGGGACCGGAGGAGGTGGCGGGCCGGACGCGGGACTGAGAGGGCGGCGCGCAGGAAGCGACGGGACACGAGGGGCGGCGGGGCCGGGCGCGGGCCCGGGGAAAGCCGGCACGGAGGGGGCGGCGGGGCCGAGCGCGGGCCTGAGGGGGCGGCGAGACTCGTGGGGCAAGGGGAGCCGGGGGCAGGCCCGAGGGAGGCCGGCACGAAGGGCGGCGGGCCTGGGGGAGGCTGGCATGGAAGGGGCGGCGTGGCCGGGCGCGGGCCCGGAGGAGGCCGGCACGGAGGGGGAGGTAGGCCTAGGGGAGCCGGGGGCAGGCCCGAGGGAGGGCGGCAGGCCTGGGGGAGGCTGGCATGGAAGGGGCGGCGTGGCTGGGCGCGGGCCCGGGGGAGGCCGGCGGGCCTGGGGGAGGCTGGCATGGAAGGGGCGGCGTGGCTGGGCGCGGGCCCGGGGGAGGCCGGCATGGAGGGGGTGGCAGGGCCCGGGTGCGGGCCCGGAGGAGGCGAGGGCGGTGGGGCTCGGTAGGTTCAAGGCCGGCACGGAGGGCGGCGGGCCCGGGGGAGGCCGTCACCGAGGGGGAGGCGGGGCTCCGTGGGTTCAGGGGCCGGGCGGGGCGGAATGAAACGAAAGGAAGTGGAACGGCACTGGGTTCTGGAAAGTCCTGGATCCAGTGCAGGAGGCGCTTTTGACCTAGACATTCTCAAAGGACACCCCGAGCTACCTGGAAGCGGGCCGAGGCAGAATGTACGGAGCCCGGAGGTCGTTGAAACATCTGGATGTTTTTTTTTTTCCCTTCTCTCTTTTTCTGTGTGTTGGGAATGCAACCCAGGGACTTCTTGCTCTGTTGACTTTCGACCCCAAGCCATGGCTGTAGCTTGAATTTAGGGCCTCTTGCGCTCCCTTTTCTCTCAACGCTGGCACTCCCACTACTTGAGTGGATAGTTCCATCTCCAGCCTTGTGGTTTTTGTTTTTTTTTTGTTTTTTTTTTTGGTCGGTTGTGGTGCCTGAACTCTGGGCCTGGGCGCTATCCTTCAGCTCAAGGCTAGCGCTCTACCACTTGAGCCACAGCGCCACTTCCGGTTTTTCTGCTTATGTGGCACTGAGGAATCGAACCCAAGGCCTCATGCATGCAAGGCAAGCACTCTACCACTGAGCCACCTTCCCAGCTTCTCCAGTCTGTTTTTAAGAAAAGGTCCCAGTATGTAACCCAAGCTGACCTAGAACTTGATATTTTCCTGCGTCATCCTAGTGTTGAGATTTCAGGCAAGCTCCCATTACTTCAAGCCAGTCGCTTTCACTAAATTGGGTTTTCATATCTGTTGAATGAAATAATCAGACTAGATTTGTTTTTTTCCTCCTAGATGACTGTGGTTTTTTTTTGTTTGTTTGTCTTGGTTTGTTTTGGTTAGTCCTGAGCTCAGGACCTGGGCACTGTCCTTGAGCTTCTCTTGTTCAAGGCTAGCACTCTACCATTTGAGCCACTGCACCACTAACTTCCTTTTTGTTTATGTGGTACTGAGGAATCAAACCCAGGGCTTCATGCATGGTAGGCAAGCATTCTACCACTAAACTCCATTCATTCCCAGCCAGTGTCTGCAGGCTTATTTTGGTTTGTTTTGATACTTGGTCTTACTGTGTTGCCCAGGGTTCCAGACTCTTACACTCAGGTGATCCTTTCCTGTCAGTCTCTTGAGTACTGAGGCTACATGTATTTCACTATCTACCACCTCTCATGGCATGCTAGCAAGCATTCTACCAGCCGAGGCCCTAGATTCTAGTTCAAGTGGTCCAGAGACTTGCGTGGATAATCTAAAGCCTTGATATCTTTCAATGTAACTCCCTGGAGGTGTTTCTTCCTTTACACATCATGTCTTGTGACTTCATGGGGCTTGAACTCTGGGTCTGGGCGCTGCCCCTCAGCTCTTCAGCTCAAGGCTAGTGCTCTGCCTCCTGAGTAGCTAGGATTACAGGAATGAGCTACCAGCACCTGGCAAGGCAGAGATTTTGTTTTGTTTTTTGGGTCCGGTCGTGGGGCCTGAACTCTGGGCCTGGACGCTGTCCCTCAGCTCAAGGCTAGCGCTCTACCACTTGAACTACAGTGCCACTTTCGGCTTTTTTCTTTTTGCTTATGTGGTGCTGAGGAATCGAACCTAGGGCCTCATGAATGCAAGGCAAGCGCTCTACCACTGAGCCACCTTCCCAGCCAAGGCAGAGATTTTTTTAAGTATATTTTTATGCTTTTTTTTTAAATTATGAAAATATTGTACAGAGGGGTTACAATTACATGGGCAAGATAATGAGTACATTTCTTATCAAGCATTGTAGCCTCCTCCTTTGTTTCCCCTTCCCATCCCTTCCCATCCTCCCCCTGACCCCCCACCCAATCCTCCCCGCTCCCCCCCCCCCCCCACCAAAGTTGTAAAGTAAGGCAGAGATTTTTGTTAGGTTGAATTATAGTTCCAGCCTACAATACAATAATTTTGTCTTTTTTTTTTTTTTTTTTTTCCAGTCCTGGGGCTTAAACTCAGCCTGAGCATGTCTCTGAGCTTTTTAGTCAAGGCTAGTCATCTACCACTTGAGCCACAGCTCTACCCCTGGTGTGGGTTTTTTGTTTTTTTGGGGGGCGGGGTTGTTTGTTTTTTGCTTGAGATGTGACTCAGACTCCTACTGGTCTTGCTTTGGCCCATGATCATCACTATCTTAGTTTCCTTTAACAGCTTGTTGTGTATCTGTCTTTTGCTGTTTCTGGGGCTTGCCAGTGCCTGGCTGCTGTCCTGAGCCTCTTTGTGCTCAAGGCTAGCGCTCTGCCACTTGAGCCACAGCACCACTTCCACTTGTTCTGAGTAGTTTATTGGAGATAAGAGTCTCAGGCTTTCTTACCCTGGCTAGCTTCAAACTGCAGTCGTGGGCTTTGAACTGCAGTTCTCAGATTTAAGCCTCCTGAATAGACTAGGTTATATGGAAATGATTGAAAAAGCAGGGAAAAGTGATTGTTGCTTGACAATTACAATCTTTATTTATTGGTCAATCATGGGGCTTGACCTCTGGGCCTTGGGGCTGTCCCTCAGCTCAAGGCTAGTGCCCTACCACTTGTGCCACAGAGCTACTTCCAGCTTTTTCTGTGTATGTTGTACTGAGAAGTCAAACCCAGGGTTTCATGCATGCTAGGCAATACGGCCCCTGCAATTTTATTCTTTATGTCCAAGTTATTTGTTGGTCGTGGAGCTTGAACTCAGGGCCTGGATGCTGTCCCTGTGTTTTGTTTTTTTGGTGACCTTTCCTGTGTGGGCTGGCTTTGAACCACAGTCCTCAGATCTCAGCTTTCCAGACTCCTGAGTAGCTAGGATTATAGGAGGGAACCACCAGTGCCTGGGGTGGTTTTCTCATTACTAAAACCTGTTGGAAGCTGGGCATCAGGTGGCTCACACTTACAATCTTAGCTGTTCAGGAGGCTGAGATCTGAGGATCTCAGTTCAAAGCAGGAGGCTGAGATCTGAGGCTCTCAGTTCAAAGCCAGCCCAGGCAGGAAAGTCCATGAAACTCTTATCTCCAATAAACTACCAGAAAACCGAAGTGATGCTGTGGCTCAAGTGGTAGAATGCTTGCCTTGAGCTGAAGAGCTGAGGGATAGCACCCAGGTCCATAGTTCAAGCCCCATGACCGGCCAAAAAAAAAAAAAAAACTGTTGGAAAAAAACTTAATGTTTTTGTTTTTTTCTTTCACAGCCGTGCCCCTCAGATGAGAGCTGCACCCAGGCCTGCTCCTGCAGCCCAACCTCCAATGGCAGCCCCAGCATCTGCTGTGGGCTCTCCTGCAGCTACTCCCCGGCAGCCTGGGCTGATGGCCCAGATGGCGTCCACAGCCGCTGGTGTAGCTGTGGGCTCTGCCGTTGGGCACACACTGGGCCATGCCATCACTGGCGGCTTCAGTGGAGCTGGTAATGCTGAGCCTGCCAGGCCAGACATCACTTATCAGGTAGGGTTAGAGTCAGCCATTCCCTTTTGATGTGGGTGTAAGGATTTCCTTTCTTGATAGACCTGACTGATTTGCCTTTGCAGGAGCCCCAGGGAACTCAGATGGCGCAGCAGCAGCAGCTTAGTGGCCCATGCTCCTATGAAATAAAGCAGTTTTTGGAGTGTGCCCAGAACCAGGGTGATTTTAAGCTCTGTGAGGGCTTCAATGAGGTGCTGAAGCAGTGCAGAATTGCAAATGGTAAGTGATGTGTACATTCCTTCTGTTCAAAGTGTTATTTCTAAACCTTGTGAGACCTAAATCTATATCTTTTTTTTTTTTGGGTCCGGTTGTGGAGCCTGAACTCTGGGCCTGGGCGCTGTCCCTCAGCTCCAGGCTAGCGCTCTACCACTTGAGCCACAGCGCCACTTCCGGCTTTTTTCATTTTGCTTATGTGGTGCTGAGGAATCAAACCCAGGGCCTCAGGCATGCAAGGCAAGCGCTCTACCACTGAGCCATCTTCCCAGCCCTCTATATCTTTCTTAAACTTAAGTGTAAATTGTGTGCCAGATCTTACTCAACTGGTTTAAGTCACTTTATAGAACTCTGGAAATTGCCTGGCACTGGCAGCCTACGTTTGTAATTCTAGCTACCAAGGAGGCTGAGTGATCTGAGATACACAGTTGTCTTTATCTCCACTAACCTACAAACAGTTGGAAGTAGAACTGTGAAGTGGTAGAGTGCCTACCCTTGAGCCAAAAAGCTCAGGACCAGCAGGATACTTGTGGCTCATACCTGTCATCCTAGCTACTCAGGATGCTGAGATCTAAGGAATGTGGTTTGAAGCCAGCCCTGGCAGAAAAGTCCTTATGAGACTTTTAACTTCCAATTAACCACTCAAAAACCAGAAGTAGTGCTGTGGCTTAAGTGGTAGAGCTCTAGCTTTGAGCACAAAAGAGGCTCAAGGACAAGCACCCAGGCCCTGAGTTCAAGCCCCACAACTGATAAAAAAAATTTAAAAAAAAAAAATTGAAAACCTCAGGGCCAATGCCCAATCAAGCCCCAGTGTGTGCGCGTTGCGCACGCACGAATGCTCTACCACTTGAACCACCGCACCACTTAAGGTTTTCTGGTGGTTTATTGGAGATAAGAGACAGACTTTCCTGCCCAGGCTGGCTTTGAACTATGATCCTCAGATCTGAGCTTCCCGAGTAGCTGTGATTACAGGAATGAGCCCCTGGCATTACAGGCAGGAACCCCTGGCGCTTTGGGTTCTTTAGATTTCAGTCTCCAGAGTAGATAAGATTATGGGCTATCAGCTCACAGCAACAGTGCTTATTTTCTATTTTTGCACCTTCAGTAAAGGTAGGAAATAGGAGGGGAGTTAATCTTTTTAGTTAATAGAACTAGGGATTGTGAGCTGGGGCTGGGTCCTGGTGGCTCACTCTTGTAATACTAGCTACTCAGGAGGCTAAGGATCTGAAAAGTTCAAATCCAGCCTGGGCAGGAAAAAGGAAAAAAAAGGAAATTCCTTTTTTTTTTTTGGTCGGTCATGGGGCTTGAACTCTGGGTCTGGGCACTGTCCTTCAGGTCTTCAGCTCAAGGCTAGTGCTCTACCACTTGAGACACAGCGTCACTTCCAGTTTTCTGAGTGGTTTATTGGAGATAAGAGTCTCATGGACTTTCCTGCCCGGGTTGGCTTTGAACCATGATCCTCAGATCTCAGCCTCCAGAGTAGCTAGGATTATAGGCGTGAGCCACTGGCACCCAGCTATGTGTTTCTTATTTTTGTTGACATTTCTTCTACTCTCAAAGTGGCTAGATTTCTGCTTCTGTTCCTCAACTGTGGCAAGTGTAGAATTTGAAGTTTCAATGGTTGAAGTAAGCTTTCAGTAGTTTACAAAGGAAAATTATAGTCATGAATGTCTCTCATTTTCTGCCGCTAATATGCTAACTTACTTTTCTGTTTGCAGGACTAGTTTAACCGTGAAGTTCAAGTTGAAGAAATGGAAAATCATCTCTGATGACCAAGTTAATTTAACATGGAAATGTAATTGGTAGTGACACTATAGAGTGTAAAACTATAAGTTAACTTCTTGTTGTTAATTGCATAGTTGCCTCAAGAGTGGCCATGGAAGAGGGTATTGTAACTCTTAATACAGGTTCACTGAGATGGTATAGAGTTGGGGCTGACAGGTGTTTGTGTGGCCTTCATTGTTCTGATGTTATTTTGAGTTAATTATAATAAACTGATTTCTTCCAAGGTGTGGTGTGGTGGTATATTTAATGAAAAGACAAAAATTAGGTATGCATGCTGAATATAATGTAATTCCCAACAGAATACAGTTGTCTTGGTGTGTCTTTCAGTTCTTTTGGTCTGTAACCTCTGGACATTAAATTAGCATCTACCAAGCCATCTCCAGCTCCGTGGGGTGTTATTTTTAAAGTTTTGGCAGCTACAAGCATGGAGTTCATAGCATGAGCAAAGTTGCTAATGATGATTTAGGGAAGGGGGCATGGATAACTGGAAAAGCACTTGACTAGCATTTTTCAGGCCCTGGGTTTAATTACCAGTACTGAAAAGATTTAGTTGAGTGAATAAACTTCAAGACCTGAGAATAGATCTATGACTGGTGTATGACCTATGGCCAGGTTAGCAGGACATGTCAGTTGTATGTACAATGGCTAAACAAACTCTTGGGTTTGTCAGGATCAAGGCTTGAACTCAGGCTTTACTTACAGCTGAGCTACCGCTTGAGCCAGGCTTCCATCCAGTTAATTGGAGATGGAATCTCAAATTTTCTGTCAAGAATGGCTTCAGGGGGCTGGGAAGGTAGCTCAGTGGTAGAGCGCCTGCCTTGCATGCCTGAGGCCCTTGGTTCCATTCCTCAGCACCACATAAGCAAAAAGAAAAAAAAGCCAGAAGTGGCACTGTGGCTCAAGTGGTAGAGCACTAGCCTTGAGCTGAGGAGCTGAGGGACAGCGCCCAGGCCCAGAGTTCAGGCCCCACCACCGGACCCTCCCCCCAAAAAAGAATGGCTTCAGATAGCTATCAGTCTGCAAGGTCTCAGTCTTTTGAGTAGCTAGGATTATAGGTGAGAGCCTCCAGTATCTGGCTTCAGTATTTTCTTTCTTTCTTTCTTTCTTTTTTGGTCAGTTGTGGGCCTGAACTCAGCCTGGGCGCTGTCCCTCAGCTCTTCAGCTCAAGACTAGTGCTCTACCACTTGAGCCACAGTGCCACTCCTGGCTTTTTCTGTGTATGTGGTGCTGAGGAATTGAACCCAGGGCCTCATGCATGCAAGGCAAGCACTCCACCACTGAGCCACCTTCCCAGCCCAGTATTTTCTTAATATAGGCCTCTTCACTATAGAAGTCTCCTTTCTGTTAGGTGTTAAAAGAGTTTGCTCTCAAAAGCTTCTACCAGGCCATATGTAACCTCTTTTTAAGTTCAGCCCCATTGCTCAAAGACTACTGAGACATTGAAAGTATAAAACAAAACTTGGGGAGACTGAGATGGGATGATTTTAAGTTCAGCCTGGGCTCCATTGTAAGGTCCTATTTCAAAAAAACCCTTGGGGAAGTGGTGCTGTGGCTCAAGTGGTAGAGCACTAGCTTTGAGCACAGGCTCAGAGACAACACATAGGCCCTGAGTTCAAGCCCACAGCTGCCAAAAAAAACAAAAACAAAAAAACCCAAAACTGGTTGGATATATGGCACGGGTGGCTTATCTGTAATCCTAGTTCCTCAGAAGTCTAAAGCCTAAGGTTTACAGTTCAAACCCATCCTGGACAGCAGAGTCTGTAGGAGGCTCATCTCCAATTAACCATCAAAATTTGGAATGGGGGGCTGGGAAGGCGGCTCAGTGGTAGAACGCTTGCCTTGCATGCATGAGGCCCTGGGTTCGATTCCTCAGCACCAAATAAGCAGAAAAAAAAAAGCCAGAAGTGGCGCTGTGGCTCAAGTGGTAGAGTGCTGAAGAGCTGAGGGACAGCACCCAGGCCCAGAGTTCAAGCCCCACGACCGGACCCCAAAAAAAAACAAAATTTGGAATGTGGCTTAGTGGTAAAGTGCCTAGCATGCATGAAGCCCTGGGTGTGATTCCTCAGTATCACAGAAAGCTGGAAGTGGTGCTGTGGCTCAGGTGGTATCTAGAATGTTAGCCTTGAGCAAAAGAAGCTCAGAGACAGTACCCAGGCCTTGAGTTCAAGCCCCAGGACTGGCAAAACAACTGGCAAGTAGAGCTGTGGCTGTAGTGGTAGAGCACTAACCTTGAGCTAAAGAGCTGAGGGACAGCGCCCAGGCAGTGTTCAAAAGCCGTACAACCAACAACAACAAAAGTCCGGGACAGTGCCCCGGCACACACAAAGACAAGAAGTTTCCATCCATAAATGACCTTTGTGTTTGGAATTACACTGAAGGCATTTTCAGCTCCTGTACAGCAGCAATTCAGAAAGTCTCCACAAAGTGCAAGTGTTGACATGATGTAACAAAGTGTTCTGGTGATGTTGGCAAGTCACATTTTCTTTTTTATTTTTGGTCGGTTGTGGGGTCTGAACTCTGGGCCTGGGTGCTGTCCCTCAGCTCTTCAGCTCAAGGCTGGCGCTCTACCACTTGAGCCACAGCACCACTTCTGGCTTTTTCTGCGTATGTGGTGCTGAGGAATCAAACCCAGGGCCTCATGTATGCAAGGCAAGCGCTCTACTACTGAGGCACCTTCCCAGCCCCACAAGTCATATTTTCTGAGAACCAGGGTTTGAAGTCCAAGAAAAGTACGTGAAGCACTTGCAATGTGAAATGCTAAGTGGGTATATGTGGACTCCTGTAAGAAGCTCTGTATTATCCCTCTGGGAATGTTAGTTAGGTTGAGAACTGGAGGTGTGGCTCAAGTGGAAACCCTGAGTTCAAATCCGAGACCTCAAGATTATTAGGGGATTGAGAAAATTATCAGTAGATTTGGAGTAATGAAGTCCACTGACCCTCCCATAGTCAGACTGATGAAGACTACATCTATACTTCCACCCAGTTAAGTGCCCAGTTGTATTCTGACTTACTGGACAGCCTGGGATGCAGCACTCTTTCACAGAAGGATTAGTTTTCTAAAACTCTGCTATCAGCACCAAACTAGCAAATGACTCCTCTAGGCTTAGAGGGCAAGTGAGGTCTAGAAGGGAGACACGTCATCTCATGCTGTCCACCTGGTCCCAGGCCACCTGGGTTCCCTCATTCTCCACCAGAGGGCACCCTTTGTGTGACTTGGCCACCTGCTCTCTGCTGAACCTTGGACTGGATCCCAGGTTAGCAGTTGTGGTTTATTTTTGGCACATCAGTCTTCCGTCATGAAGCAGCAAACCCCAAAAGAGCAGCAGGACATCTTACTCTGGTCACAGGACGGCTTCAGCCCTTTGCTATTCCCTCTGCCCCGGGGCTCTGAGACCTTTGGGATTCTTGTTGCAGCCATTCAAGGCCCTTTGAGGATTCTCAACAGTGAGTAACTGGGAGATGGAGAGAGAGAGAGAGTGTGGGAGGCATGGGTAGAGAAGACAGACAAATCCATTAGACATGTTTCTCTTCCCTCTGAAGGTTGGGAAGTCTGCAGAAAGGCAATTCCTGTACATTTTCCCACCTGGGTTTGGGGTGGAGGAATATCACACAAAAAGAATAGGCTGCCTCCTATTGGAGACCCTCCCCATACGGATCTTGGAAGGGTAAGAGGTGGAGGTGATGCACAGAGGCACAAAGTTGGCCCCTGTCAGGCTGTAGAGTGAGGGATGCATATGCACACAGGAAAAGTGAGTCCAGCCAAAATTCTGTTCATCTTTGTGCCAGTTAATAGTGCTCCCAGCCCTGATGGCATCCCAGGGTGAGTCCAGACATCCTCCATCCGTGGAAGGTGTAGGAAGGGAGGCTCAGTGAGGAGAACGGCACAGATACCCATCCTGGGACTGAGAAGAGCCTCCCAGAAAGTGGAGAGGTTTTTTTGGGAACAGATACTCTGAATTGCTGACAGGGCGGAGGAGGGCCTGTGTGAGTCCTGATGCCAGCTGCTGGCAAGGGAGATGCTTGTTATTCTAACCCTGCCTCTGGTAACCAGGCACCCAGGAGCAGGCACACCAGCCCTCTTGGAATGGCAAGCTGGAGTCTCAGCGTCAGTGCTGCCCTTAGAGAGGCCTGCCCCTCACAGGCCCTGGAGGCTGTGGACGTGGGGTGCGGGGCTTCCTATGCCTGTCTTCTGCAATCATGAAATCCTGAGTCTGTGGGAGTTCAGTTCCCTCATAGCAGCCTCTGTTAGCCAGCTCAGCTCCTCTCCCTCCAGGTTTGCCTATACCAGTTCCATCCTGCTCACCACACTCAACAGAACCAGGCAGGGCTTGTTAGGTAAGACCTGAAACATGCTGCCCACCAAAGCCAGGCCCAAAAGCTTACCTTCCCAACCATTGACTCACATCTAGGAGGCAGCATTTGCTGCATGCCTGCCCTGGGCACAGAGAGCAGAAGAAGCTAGGACATAGGTTCAAGAGAAAATGACACTGTAATGGACAGATGACAGCATACACTGGCAAGTGGTGCCAGATGCTGGTACCAAAATTCAGACTCACCCAGCCCATTTCTCTATCCCACAAAACAGCTACCACAGTGATCAGCAAAGGAGGTAGGGAGGGAGAAGGGAGAAGGAGGGAGGGAGAGATTCAGGGGGAGAAGGAGGGGAGGACGGAGGAAGAGAGTCCTGCATATGGACAGAAAGAGAAAACAGAGCAAGATGAGCAGGAAGCATGTCCTGGAAGGGAGGCTGTTTTCAGCTGTTTGGGTTGAAACAAAGAGGCTTGGGGCTGGGAATGTGGCTTAGTGATAGAGTGCTTAGCATGCATGAAGCCCTGGGTTCGATTCCTCAGTGTACCATATACATAGAAAAAGCCAGAAGTGATGCTGTGGCTCAAGTGGTAGAGCGCTAGCCTTGAGCACAGAGAGGCTCAGGGACAGAGCCCAGGCCCTGAATTCAAGCCCAGGACTAGCAAAAAGGAAAAAAAAAAGTCTTGGGACTGGGATATTAGGATCATAAAATCACAAAATTTCTCATCTTTCCTACAGATGTAGAAAGCAGGGCCATCTTAGTCTCAGAGTGGAATAGAAAGCTCACTTTAACTTAAGCCTCTACAGTTTCTGATGTATTCTAGGAGCAAGACTGTGCTGGCCTACTTACAGTGATCCTTGGGGCCCCATCTCCTGCCCCAGCCCTGGGCCTGAGCTGGACCTGGCTCACCATCTGCTGGCCCCATTGGGGACAGTAAGGACTAAAAGATGTCTTGGGGGTCTTACGACTATCCAATCTGGGAAGATGCAAGCCGGGCTGGGTGCAAAGCTCCAGGCAGCCAGGGGAGGAGAGCCATCGGAGGGACGGTGGCCATCACTGGGGGCCAG